TTTTTTTTAACAAATAATGTAAAACTTATTTCCTTATTTTAGGCAATCAAAAAGTTCAAACAATAAATCTTGAATTGTATATTGTAAGAAATGTTACAATTGAAATTTTTTATTGTCTTCTTATTGTTACTAGAATTCCGGAAAATATGATTTGAGAACACTTTTTTTTAACAAATAATGTAAAACTTATTTCCTTATTTTAGGCAATCAAAAAGTTCAAACAATAAATCTTGAATTGTATATTGTAAGAAATGTTACAATTGAAATTTTTTATTGTCTTCTTATTGTTACTAGAATTCCGGAAAATATAATTTGAGAACACTTTTTTTAAACAAATAATGTAAAACTTATATCCTAATTTTAGTCAAATGGTGAACTAATCAAAAGTTCAAATTACAAATATTCACTTGTATATTGAAAGAACTTTTTTTATTGTGTCTTTTTGTTGTTAATAGAATTACGGAAATCTAATTTAAATTGGACACACTTTTATAACAAATAATGTAAAACTTATTTCCTTATTTTACACAATCAAAAAGTTCAAACAATAAATCTTGAATTGTATATTGTAAGAAATGTTAAAATTGAAATTTTTTATTGTCTTCTTATTGTTACTAGAATTCCGGAAAATATAATTTGAGAACACTTTTTTTTAACAAATAATGTAAAACTTATTTCCTTATTTTAGGCAATCAAAAAGTTCAAACAATAAATCTTGAATTGTATATTGTAAGAAATGTTACGATTAAAATTTTTTTATTGTCTTCTTATTGTTACTAGAATTCCCAAAAATATAATTTGAGAACACTTTTTTTAAACAAATAATGTAAAACTTATTTCCTTATTTTACTCAAGTGGTGAATTAATCAAAAAGTTTAAATTACTAGTATTCAATTACATATTGTAAGAAATATGATGATAAAAATGTTTCCTTTTGTGTCTTTTCTTCTTGTTAATAGAATTCCGGAAAGAAAATTGAATTTGGAAATACTTTTTTTTAATACTTTTATTTCCATAGTTTAGTCATATTGTAAATTGGTCGAAATTTTCAAATTATAAATAGTAAGAAATGGGACGATAAAAAAGATTTTATGGTATCTTCTTGTTAATAGAATTCGTGAATTCTGGAAAAATTTAATTTGGGAATACTTTTTTTAAACAAATAATCTGAAACTTATTACCTTATTTTAGTCAGATTGTGAATTAATCAAAAAGTTCAAATTATAAATTTTGAATTGTATTTTGTAAGAAATGAGATAATAACACAGTTTTTATTATGCCTTTCTTTTTGTTAATTGAGTTCCGGAAATCAAATTTGATTTGGAGACACTTTTTAGTCAAATACAAAATTTGTTTCCTTATTTTAGTCAGATTGTGCATTAGTCAAAAAGTTCAAATTATGAATTTTGAATTGTATTTCGAGAGTGATTATTAATGTGGTAATTAATGCGATAATGTATTAATGTGATAATTAATGCGATAATTTATTAATGTGATAATAACAATGTTTTTATTATGTCTTTCTTGTTTTTTATTGTGTTCCGGAAATCAAATTTAATTTGGAGACACTTTTTAGACAAATACAACACTTGTTCCTTTATTTTAGTCAGATTGTGCATTAGTCAAAAAGTTCAAGTTATGAATTTTGAATTGTATTTTGAGCATGATTATTAATGTGATAATTAATGCTATAATGTATTAATGTGATACTTAATGCGATAATTTATTATTGTGATAATAACATTGTTTCTATTATGTCTTTCGTGCCTTTTATTGTGTTCCGGAAATCAAATTTAATTTGGAAACCCTTTTTAGACAAATACAAAA